TCACAGGCGTGGACGTGGATGACACGGTCACAGGCGTGGACGTGGATGACACGGTCACAGGCGTGGACGTGGAAGGACACGGTCACAGGCGTGGACGTGGAAGGACACAGTCACAGGCGTGGACGTGGATGGACACAGTCACAGGCGTGGACGTGGAAGGGAGCACAAGTCACAAGTGTGCTTGGGGGGACCCTCTAGTTTGTTTACGTTACTCAGGATAGATGCCTAGCACACCAGCACTGCTGGCCCTGTCCTGCGTGAAGCTAGTTTTGTGCCTTGGAAGTTGCCAGGTCTGTGGTTTTCTGAGGGTCCTGTGTTGATATGTGTGTGGGTCCGCCTGCACTTGGGACAGCCCTCAGGGTACTGTATCGGCAGGGTGCCTCTAAAATCCAGGGTCCTGGTCTGATGGGAAGATGTGTGTGTGAGAGAGAGAGACAGAGAGAGAGGGAGAAAGGGAGAGAGAGGGGATTTTAGTGAAGCTGGTTTTCCAAGAAGGCTGGGGGTTGAGTTGATATAGTGTCCAGGCTCTAGGTCAGCAGTGCCCAGGTTTCTGAGGAAACCATAAGACCACAATCCCCCTCCCTCCCCCCTTCCTCCCCAAGACTCCTGCCAGTGGGGTTGAACGGTGAGATCGAGCCCTGGCTCCTGATAGATAGCACCAGCACTGCCATCTCCCCCAGCAGAAATCCCCCTGCCTGGCAGAGCCTGAGCTTCTGAGTAGGGGTGGAGGTGGTGCTCTGGGGGAGGGCTGGTGCCTGCACAGAGCTGGCCGCCAGCCTCTGATACCAGTTCTGTTTGGGGACTGCCCTTCCCTTAATGGCAGTTAGCTGCCTTCTCACAGCCTCAGCTGGTGAACCAGTGCACTCCATCCCAGGGCCTTGGAGTGCCCTGCCCTAGTGAATCAGAAACAGAAATCTAATCCTTGTCCAGGTTCCAGCAAGAGCTGACCTCCTTTCTGTGCTGTCAGGAGCCTGTGTGACTGGAGGCTACCTTCCAGGAGTTTGTCGCACGTCCCAGCCCAGGACCTGTGCAGCCTGCATCCAGTCTACCTGGATTTTCCCCATCACTGTCACCACGCTCCTGCTCTCTTACAAACCCAGAGATTGGCAGAGGGCAACTGCAGGGGACCTTGGAGCTTTGGGCACGAGTGAGGGCATAAATAAGGCTCCCTTGTCTTGAAGCCACAAACCCATTTATCAGAATATTTCACACATCAGCTGACTTACTGAGAAGTGAGTTGGTGAGCTTGCCAGCTCCGTGGTGTTTATGACTTTTTATGATCTGTTCCTGAAGCCAACACAGGGTGGAGCGAACCTCAAAATGCTGGTGGATTCTGGCCTCTGTTAGGAAGGGAGGCGCTCCACATGGCTTTGGCCACTCACATCAGATGTGTGGATGCTTCTGCATGTTTCCAAGAAATCAGGTGTGAGTTTTTGAAATCCTGGCCTAGGGAACAGGTTCAGTGCCCCAATCTTTATTAGCTGGTGGCCATAAAGGTGGACTATGGACTTTCCACTCTATCAGCAAGAGCACAGTAGGTGTGGTCACACGTTGGCTCTCTCCGGCTAGGTGGGGACTGGAGTGGCAAACCTTGTCAGCAGAACCTTTTGGTTTCACCCTTGACAGAAAGCCTTTCTGGCCTTCATCTTGTGCTGGTGACTGGGGCTGCTGGGCTGGGGATGGGTGTGAGTCCTCACACCACCGTACCACTTCCTCATGCAGCACCAACGTGTGTGTCCACGTGTGGATCCGGCCCATCCTGGCTAACTTTAAAGAAGTACCTTGGGCTGGGATGTAGCTGAGTTGTACAGTGTTTGTCTGGTGTGTGCCAGGGCATGTTTGATCCCTTGTATATGCACACCTGTGTGTACATACATGCATGCAAACGCAGCATTCATTTAGCTTAATCCACAATCAAATCTGCATTTTCAGTTTTATAAAGTGGACTAGAATGAGTTTTGTCTAGTTTTATTGACAGCGGAATGCAGTTACCTTATTTGGGGGTAGTTAGCACATCACCTGCACCTCATAAAAGATGGTAAAATCTTGCACACGACTGTTAAAGTTGTATTCCCTTTTGCAGTTGTAGCAACTGTAACAGACATTTTTTTCCGGTCTTCTGTGATTCTAGATATATCTGGGTCGAGAGATTTGGGAGCAGTAGGTACTGCAGGAACCAGCATGGACCATTTGTCAACGATGGTCAGTTCCCAGGGGTTGTTTGTCAGAATAGGTCATGTGCATCGCGTGCTATTGGACTTAACGCGCAAAGCTCTCCAGCCAAGTATCTAAGGCAATTCTGATGGAGGAGGAACAACCACTGGTGCTGGAACGGGCGCAGGCCCTTTCTAGATGCAGGTATAAGTCAGGTAACAGGCCTCTGCTCTTGTGAGTGTCCCTTCTTTTGTTCCTCCTGCATGAATGGAGCCTGGTGGACATCCCATGTGGTGCTCATGTGGCTATGGGGACAGCAGCCCTCAGACTAAGTTCCTTGTCCCCAGGGTCCGTTGGACTGGGTATGGGGGGAGACTGGGCTTTTCTGCTTCTCCTTCATTGTACAGGTCACAGATGCCCTCAAAAGCGTAGAGCCTCTGATGTAGTGTCCTCTTCCTCTCTATCCTCAGGACCTCTGAGAGGGAGGAGAGGCCTGTGGCTGGTGCCTTATTTGGGAGAGTTGAGTCTGGGCCTAGGCTGGGTGTTAGCTGTCCCTTGATGTTGGAGGTAGGAGGAGGAGCACAACAATTAGGTTTGCTTTGGCATAGCACTATAATCGCACCCATCCCAACATGGGTGTCAGATGAGTTTGTGTGAGTTTTATGGACTGTAATTAGTAAGCTTGCTCTGTATGTGTGGCCCGAGTAGCCAAGTTGCTGCTCATGACCCAGGGCCTTGTGGGGGTGAGGAGAGAAGGTCAGGAGGGAGTTCTTCCTCCAGGCTTCCTTCTGATGTGGTCTGCGAGGTAACTTGCAGCCCCAGCTTGCAGCCGTTCTTGTATTAAAAGTGAGATTTAGGGGCCTGGCTGAGTCACTAGCAGTAAATGCATACCATATGTTGTGCATTTTCTCCCAAGTAGAATGGGTTTCTGGGATCTCACTCAGGCTGGGCTCTGGATTTAGCCTTATTTATTTCACATAAAAATCCTAAGAATATGGGTGAACCTGTCTGAGATCTGCTCAGAACCAAATTTCATGGGATAAACTCTTAGCTGAAGTCACTGGTTTCAATGTAGTCCCACTTGTGGTTATGACGTAACTGTTACCGACAGTCTGATATTTGCATTAACTTTTGGGCAGAGGAAACTTCGGCGTTTTGGGTCATTTCAGTTTTTTGAAAACAGAGCTGTCTTTTTTAGGACCTGCCTCACAGAGGGTGTAGAATAGTGCATCTACTTTTGTCTACTTAGCATTTAAGAGTGGAATTACCTTGTTACTTTAGAAATTCCCGTCAGAAGATCTTCCTTCCTTTTGTCCTGGAAATTCTCCCTGTCCCCACCTAAGGGAGGACATTTCCTTTGTTCTCATAGTGGATCTTGTCTTAATGACATTTGAGTTTATTTAAATATTATGATTGGCAATGCAAGGACTTACAGCTTAGAAATGAATGAAAAATGGTCATTATGAATAATCCCCTCCCCACTGCTGGCCCTCCCAGCTGGTATAGAAGCGTTCTGTGGAGCAGTGTCATCGCTACTGGGCACCTCCTATAGCAGCCATAATGCATAGTACCCATAACATAGAGCGTCAGTAACAAGAATCCAAGCCTTTGTTTTTCTTGACCATCCTGGGAATCTGCATCATCGTTCTGCTGTTCTGCTCTTTTGGGTGATTTGCTGACCTTGACTCTTGGAGCAGATTCATTGGAAGGGACTGAGTGGGAGAGGCCATATAGCAGTGAGCAGCATCATGCTGCTGTCTCCGTCTTGGCTTGGGGCCTGAGCACCTGAGGCAGTGGCAGGCGAGTGTGAATGGTTCTTGTGGTCCTCCCCTGGGGAGGGCTCCATACAGGATGTCAGGAGCTTACGCTGTCCCCTTTTCCCACAGTGGGCTGACCCACGAGGCGCACAGCAAGGATGTGGAGCAGGTGTATCTGCGCTGCTCAGCTGGCTCTGTGGAGTGGATGTACCCGACCGGGGCCCTCATCGTCAACCTGCGGCCCAACACCTTCTTGCCATCCAGACACCTCACGGTGTGCATCAAGCCCTTCAGGGACTCCTCAGGCGCCAATATTTACTTGGAAAAAACTGGAGAACTGAGACTGCTGGTACAGGACGGGGCCAGCGAGGCTGGCCAGGTGCAGTGTTTTGGCCTGCAGCAGGGTGGCCTGTTTGTGGAGGCTACACCCCAGCAGGACATTAGCAGGAGGACCACAGGCTTCCAGTATGAACTGATGAGCAGACACAGCAGCCCTGACCTGCACGCGCGCTCTGGTGAGTGGCTCGGCCGTCCTCACCCCCGCTCGCGCACACACACACACACACACACACACACATGCGCTCTGGTGAGTGGCTCGGCCGTCCTCACACACACACACACACACACACACACACACACACACACACACACGCACTCTGGTGAGTGGCTTATGAAGTGGCTACCTGGGCTCACTGTGCCTTGTGGATTTTCAGGAGCATTCCAATTGTTTCCTGCCCTCTCCTCTGCTCCCCGTTGAGACACTTTCCTGTCTGTGGCTTGGCCATGCAGGTTTGCCTCTAGATCCCTGAAGTGTCCCCTCATGGGGTGGTGTGAGGTCTGTGTGTGGGTGTTGGACCTACAAATGAAACACTTTTGAAATACAGCCTTTCCAACCAAAATCCCATTTGAAAATAACACCATATCTGATCGATGGTCTACTTTGGGCCACACCAGCTTTAGGAACCTGTTGGTGTTGATCATCCAAAAGTATGCATGTATGTGTGGGACCAACAGTGATCCTGAGAATGGCTTAGTATCCTGGCTCCTAAGGGACTGGCTATAATTTATTTGAGGTGGTGCCTTTTTCCCTTCCATCTGGCCTACACACTGGCTGTGTATTTTTGTATCTGCCACAGCCCTGAAATACTGAGTTCTGGGTAGATACCAAGGCTGATCTACAGCCCAGAGCTGTGATATCCCCGAGTATGGGGCCAGTCACAGGTCCCAGAGGCTTTCTTTTCTTTTTTTTCTTTTTTTGTCTGTCATGGGGCCTGAACTCTGGGCCTGGGCGCTGTCCCTCAGCTCTTCAGCTCAAGGCGAGTGCACTACCATGTGAGCCACAGGGCCGTCTCTGGCTTTTTCTGCTTATGTGGTGCTGAGGAATCGAACCCAGGGCCTCATGCATGCAAGGCAAGCGCTCTACCACTGAGCCACCTTCCCAGCCC